CAATAAGAACTTGAACATCTTCTTCGGTATGAGCAACAAGAGCGCAGTCATCAGCGTAGAGTAGCTCTCTGACCAGTATATGGTGGACTTTGGTCTTTGCCTTAAATCGTCGAAGGTTGAATATTCCTCTATCGTACCGCACATTGAATTTATGCCATTCTCGCAATTATGAAAGGCATCATAGATCACAGCGGCCATAACAATGCTGAACAGCAGTGGTGCAAAAACGCAACTGTCAACACTCCCGCTATCTGCATTATCTACGTCATGAAATCGAACTGGCAGGAAATTCTAAAACCATGCTCGCTTCAAGAAGTAAAGTGGTGGCTTTCGTGACCATTGCTTTTTATTTCTTAATTCAAGAGCTGCAAACAGAGAAACGTCAAAATTTCGTAAGATGCTGATGTTAAAACACCTCAAGAGGTCGAGGCGAAAACGGATGGTTTTACTCCAAATTGCATTTGTCTGGAAAAAGTTGTAAATAATACTGAAAATGAAAAATACAATGCCTTCTTTTACCTGACCGATTGTTCGCCGTACGAAGATCGATCTAATCGCTCTCTGATTTCTCTGTTATCTGCCATGATAGAAACGCTTAGCCGAAAACGTTGCAATCGCACGACCAGCTCACCGCGGGATGTGACATGTTACACCGCCACAAGCGGTGTAATATGTCACATCCCGCCACAAGCGGTGTAATATGCATCTTGACCTTGGTTACCAACTGTAACCATGCCTGATCACAGGGTAATTGCAACTTTTACCTTGGTCAAATTTCTTTTGTCTTTTGCGGCACTTACCAAAGTATCAGTTAGCGTTTACACACAGAAAATGTTTACCTAGGTAAGTAAACTCTCGTACCTCAGTAAACCGTTCAAGTCTAAACACGGTATTAGGACAAGCTGTTTTCACTGAACTTCCGGACTTTTCTGACTTTAACTAGTTAAACTTGTCCTAGTGAAAACACAGCCAAAGATGTATCTGTACAAAATTACAGAGCGTGAAAATTCTTTGAACAGTTTACCAGAGGGAAAATGTCCCACCTAGCTTTAGAAAGAGAGGTAAGAAAGATTTTGGACAAAGAAATTGCTCGTAAGGTCCAAAAAGTTTTCAGTGTTTTTTTCTTTTGATCATACCAGCTTGCCTTTGGGGATTATCTGGGGGCTATCGTTTGTGTTGTTTGCATTTGGTCCACTTGAAAAGTCCTCAACGACAACGACACCTAGAGTTTAACTTCCCTGATAAGCAACCTTTCTGATGGCAGTGTGAACAACTTCACAAATTTGGTCTCCCGTTAATGAACTGTTCTCAACATAGGACGTATCATGCATCTTAGCTAGTTCACAGGCTTTTTCACAAGACACTGTGTTCAGTTTATCTCCCTGCTCTGTCAGTTTCCTTTTAATAAAAAAAAATTATGACTGCACCAGATCTGTATGACTGGTGTTTGCAGAACACATCTGTGAGAGCTACACACCTAGCGGCTTTTCTGATCATTATGTAGCAATTATTTGTACACCTAATCATAATTTTTTCATTAAAATAAACAATTTCAGTTGTACTTCTACAGCTTTACAGGGAAAAAGTTAAGTTTAACAGAAAATAGAAATATGCTCACTCAAAGTTTCTTTAACAGCTATTGTCTACTTATTACTGAAGTTGTGTTCCAAGATACTTCAGGCTGTTGACGCCTTGCGGGCCCAGCTAATATTCTAAAACTGAATGACGAGAGACTGGGTTCTACTTACTTCCTGAGATACATTTTGGTTCCGACCAAACATGAATGGAAAAACGGGCATGAAATAACGAATTTCTGGAATTCATTTCTGTTTAACTCTGTCAAACGAGACGCGATCTGTAATTTCGAAGCATAACACAAAAATATCAGTGTTTGGGTAAAAAAGGAGTCGAACGTGATCATATTATTCGCCGCTGGTGCTGCCGATGTCACAGAAGGCCACATGGTAAGGCTTCCCCTCTACTGTCACTCATTCGAACACTGGTACTAAATTTTCGTAAGGAATTGAACCAGTGTTGAATCGAAGAAGCAGAGCTGTTTTTCCAACCGCGGAATCTCTGTGGAAGACAATCTTAATAGGTGGTTTTTCGAGCTCCATTGCTGCCAGAATTGCTTCGCAAACGGAAATGTCTGAGTTTCTCTAGGACGTCAGGAATTATTGTGTAAGGTTACATGTTGCGTGACTACACTACGTTCGACCAAGGACAACTCGAGACAAATGTCGGGAAGCGTCTTCGCCCTCTCAAACCCACGATTCTAGTGCAACTAAATGTAGATCATTGAAGACTCAGAAACTTCCTTCTAGAACGCAGACCTAGAGAGCTCTAGGTATATTATCTTGTTAGTGATTTTGAGTTCGTCAGTATTCTTACACCATTACATTTCAAGTCTGTCACAGAGGTTATTTATCTTACGAGAGTTTTTCCTCACTTCTAGATCATGGCCACCGAGTGGACTCCTCTAGCTTGTTTGTCATCTCGCATGCAAAGAAATAAAGGTATGGCTCCCGAACTTTTTACCCTCAGAACAGTCTGAGTTATTCTTGGGAGTAGGTTTGGGGACATCGGAAAGTAAAACAATTCCAGATTTCGTCTCTAAAGTTCTTTGTTAGATAATTTGCTTGTGCTATTCGCCCCCTGATGTTCAACCGGTAGCTAGAGTGTTCTATGCTGGTGAAGGGATCAAATAAATGACCAAGAGGTGAAGGCGGATGGGGTCTAATTTTATTTGAGACACTGCTGACCGTTGGTGTGTGTTGAATTGATTGGTGGATTTCTGACTGAATGATTGATAAGACTCAATTGGCAATTGATTGATTGACCAAGAGATGGACTTAATAATTGATTTATAATAATTTTCTAATTTTTTCCAGCTGATAAGGAATTGAAAATTGCTCTTATTGTGATAAATATGCCATTAGGTGGTATGATTGACAAGTTTAAGAACTTGTGTAATATTGGTGAGTGGCGTTTTAAACTTTTGAGTTGATTAAAATTTTGATAAATTTCAGTTCAAACATGAGTATTTTTGAGTGAGTTTTCAGGTCTGATTTTCGCTATTGCTTAAATAGCGCTATCTACTGCGAGGATCGTGCATCATATGTATCTAATACCGCAGTACAAAATATATGAACTTCATATATTTCATTGTATCTCAGAGAAAAATATTTTGATCAATAGTTTAACATTATTGCATTAAGTGAATGAATTTACTTTTAGCCTAAACAGTTTTAAGTTGTTCAATTATAATATTGGGCTTGTTGAATTGTTGATCAGACCTCTAAAATCATTTGATCTAGTTTGTCAATTGTAATCTTTAGGAATTTTTTCCACTCTAATAACTTGATGCATGCTCTCCATATTTAAAAAAAAATGATGGATCTCTGTATTCATCAACAAACTTACATATTAAAACATTTTCCTTATTAGTTCAAAGGTTTTTAGATTAATCGTTACTTTGATTTTATTTTTTGTTATGAGGCAAGCTTAAAAGTACATTTGTTGTTACTTTGCAGCAAGTGTTAAGTCCTACACTGATGGAGGCAGCAGCCAAGTTTTTAATGTAGTTGGTGAGGAGCAAGAAAAGTGAGTTTACATGTAACTTGCACGAGCCTAGGAAACGTCTCTTTCATTCTTCACTAGAAACCTAGAAAGCAAAACTCAGAAACTTGTGAACACTTTGATTTGATTCTCAGAGTTTAATTGTGTACTAAGCAATCTTGATGGAATTCATTACACATAAGAAAACCTTTGAGCTGCCTTCTGTTATGTGATTTACACTAGATATCTACCAGACTATATCAGCGGGGATTTTGACTCAGTTGATCCAGACATTTTAAACTTTTACAAGGAAAAGGTAGGATATCACTCTGCTAGGAATCTTTCTTGTTTTCTTGCTAAATCTTTTTTGTTTTCTTCAAGTTGGCAATTAATTTCCAAGCTTATCACAATGATTGAGTCAGTTTGCTAGACATAACGTCACGTAGTCACGTTCGACGTGACTACGAGACGTTATGTCTAGCAAACTGACTCAATTATCGAACACGTTCCTGGCCTCGGCCCACAAAATTTCATCACACTTATCACAATGGCCAGACAAAATTGGATGTTAAATCTGCTGATCAATTTACAGTAACCTTCTACTCTGTTTTTCTGCAGGGCGTGGAGATAATCCCCACCCCTGACCAGAATGAAACAGACTTGACAAAGTGTCTTAGAATTTTAATAAATAACAAAAGCATTAGTGAGGTACAGTACAGTGTACATATATACTATTTATTTTGTTTACTTTTATGTTATAAAGTAGGTTTCTAATCTTACAGGCTTTTCTGTTTTAGGGTCTTTTCTTAAAGGTAGGCCACATTATTTCTGAGAACATTCAAGATAAACCAGCCAACAAACATTCACTGAATTCTTAAAGAGAGGTTTTTTTTGTATTTGTATTTGTTGCTTAGTAACTTTCCTTCCTGGGGCGTGGCATACTTCATTTTTTCCTTGCTTTTTCTTGTAACCTTTATCAAACAGACCTCTTATTGAATGGACACTTTGTATTTGCCCTTTAACTCCCATGAGTGACCAAGACAGAATTTCTCCTTACCACATCCATACAATATCAAGCAGACAAGTAACAAGAAAATCACAAGTTAGGGAGATTATTAGTTGATCCAACACCAAATTCACCAAACTAATTTCAATTAGTAAGAATTATACGGCAGACCATGAAAAGAATTACTAATGAGACCTTTGGAGTGAGACGGTTACCTACGCTCAAGCCTCAAGTTTTTCTTCATAGAATCCCAGTAGAGTGGATTGTCTTCCTCGGGCATATCATCAGACACCATAGATTTCAATGGTTTCCAAACTATGAACATACTTTATGAAAATAACTCCCTTGATGGCTTATTTCAGCTCCTTCAGCCCCTGCCCCCCACCCTGAGGATATTTTCCACGCTGTCTATCAAATATGTTGGAATGTTTCTCAGTTTGATCAGATTGTTGTTATAAATGCATTTGGTGGACGTCTTGACCACACCATGGCTAACATGGAGAGCATGTTCCACATCACAAAGCTGACGAACAAACCCCTTTATTTGATGTCCGAGGACTCGATGGCTTGTCTCCTCATGCCGGTAAGTACGCATACGTCACATTTTAGCGAATTAGTAAAGGATACGGTAGTAGCAGCAGAGCGAAAAAAACGAGAAGCTAGCGTCGGTTCGCGTAACGAACGCGTTTATTACGCGACCAGACCCAAGTCTCCCTCGTTTCTTTCACTTCTCCTAACTATGGCGCCATTTACTATCGCACTTGGTTTTACTGTGACTGAACGCCTTTTAAACCTGACTGCACACTTCTGTACATTTAGCAGACAACAGAAAAATACTGTCTCCACCCTTGCAAATTCATGCCTTTCTTTTTCTAATCTCGAAGTTACTTGTGATGGATATTGGCAGGTTCTGAGGATCTTTCTTTCCATGTCAGGGTTATCATATCATCCGCGTGAACACTGGTTTAGAGGGAGAATGGTGCGGGCTTATACCAATAGGCGCCAGGTGTACACGTATCACTACAACTGGCTTGAAATGGAACTTAAGTATGACAACTTCAATTTTTCTTTTTATGGCTACTATATTCGATGAAGGTATTTTTAAAAGTTACTGGCCTAAAACAGATTCCCATTGGCCCTTTCTAGTCTTTCTATGCTGCGATATTCTCAGGGTATTGATATTTTCCGCGCTACACTAAACACGGCCCTCTTCAGTTTACAGGCAGATTTTTGACATCGTTACAACTCGGCGAGCTCCTTTCAAACGTAATTGGGATGGTAGAAACGTTGACCCCAAGGCGTTGCACTGTTTTCCATAACACCTCCAGTCTCTAATTTTTTAGAAACTTCAGCTGTTGGATCATTGTTGTTGCTTTGCAGTCCTACACGTCCACCATTAGAGAAAAACTGTAGTCGCAAGTGATGCTTCGGGGAAGTATGGATGGAGGCTTTTTGCAATCCTGCGACCCCATAGTATCGGAGGCTCAGATTGGCGATACGTGAATTGTAAAGATTTTGGCACTGCTGTAGTTACGCTAGAATACGTGGAGTAACCAGTGGGTTCTTCCGAAGTTGATTTTCTCACAGTTAAGTTTTTCTTTGAATCTTTGTCACAGCTGATGGTCAGTTAGAGTTTGGAACCTTGGTCAGTACATCAAACACGTATGACGGAAGTGAAGTTGTGACCATAGAAACCGACACCACCGTTTTGTGGACCATGGGAGTGAAATGAAACAAATAGTAAATTAAATAGACGTGTGCAACATTGGAAAAAATTCAGTGTACCTAAGAGAATTTGTGAGGCAGTGAAGAGTCAGTTCCTTTGTTTGAAGATGGGAAAAAGGTTAATTTGAAACCACTTGAAGTCAGAGTTCCTTTATTTTATATTCAATTTTTTTTTTCCTCTTTTATCCATTTCCTAATTACTTGCACTTTGCCTCGATTATTTCGCTTTTCTGGCGAAATTTTACTGAAGTTTGTGCTCTGTTGATTAAAATGTTTTTAATAACTTGGTGTACACCTTTTTTCAGCCGACCCACCCTTAGAAACTAGTGCTGGCAAACTCATTAAACATCGCGTTTAAAATCCTGCTACTATCAAAATGTGGTGGAAATCTTCCTTGATATCGCAGAAGGATTCCCATCTGCGTAATACACGGTTCAAAAATCTGTGGGAGTATGAAACACTTATGTTTTTATTCAAAACATGTCATGTTTTTATACAAAACATGTCATGTTGAGTTCATTAAAGATCATATCTTTGAATTTGTATTATTTGAAAGAGGTTTATTTCAAAAGAAACGCGTTGAAATATGAACAAGGATTTACAAACTCGGCGAACATCTTCAGAACGTCAATTACCCTTCCAACATAATTTTGGTTGCGACAAACCCAAAGAGAGGCAAACACGAAAGATCATGAATAGATAAAGAAAAATGGACAATTTTGAGCTTGGTAGTGAAGTTAAGAAAGATGTCGTGAACGAGCGCGGGACAAAGACGAAATCTAGTGAGTCCCCATGAGGAATCCAACCTCACACCCGCAAATTCCGCGTTTCGATGCTCTTTCACTAATCTACAGAGAGTTCTTTGAAGAGTTAGGCCAGGCCATTGCAGGGTTTAGATGTAAAACCAGTCCAGCACAATTCTTGGAACAGAAATGTTGGAAGCTTTACGAATTGTTATACTCGGTCTAAACGCACGATACTTTCGACATTGATTATCCTAGCCAAAAGCAGCAGTACTGTACGCCTGACTGGTTGTAGTTTCGCTCTCAGACAAGGGGCTGACGCTCGAAATGCTAGCTTTGAAACTCTTTACGGTGACCAATTTACATTACCCCCACCAACGCAGCATTACAGTTTCTTTAAAACTTACCCCCTTTATGAAAGTTTATGTTGTTCATTGCAACTCAATTGGCATAGCATCCAACTGCGAAAACAGACGTCTGAGTTCCAAGCCGGAAGGTACTTTTTTCTTTGTCTCAGGCCCGTGACCAAATTTTCGCCGATTTTTCTTTTTGTACGTTTTTATTCAGTGTCTTCCTTTTTGTGTTTCACTTAGACTGAAAAGCTCTGTTTCATCTTAGTAACAACACTTGACGCTCTTATTGTAACAAGTTACTAAAGCGCAAAGCGCCGTAGAGAATAAACTGCCCCTAGGCCTGAATCACTGAATTGGAAGCAAAAAAGGAACAAGCAATAATGATACTTTTATTTCGTTTCTTCATGAAGGCAATTAATAAATTTCTACACAGAGACATTTGATGTGAAATAGTTGTGAAACTCACCTCAGGTCTCATGCGAAGAGCAACGGAACCTTTTTTTATCTTTGTCTTCAGTATTTTAATCAGTGAACATTCTAAAGCAAAATTTAACTAATAACTGAACACTGAGGGAAATTCAAAAGGAAAATCTACTTGGAAAAATTATAAAGATTAGATGCTTACTTGTGTAAGATAACACATCTACTCTCAGATTGACCAGTTCCTGAACCATGATAAGTGGTTAGCAGTTTTTGAACTGACTTTCTCGGGTGATCATAGTAAAGCTTAAATCTTTTTCTTTCAGTATTGCTTTTTTAAGGAAATCAAATAATTCACGTTCGGTGGAATCCTTCTCACGATATACCCTGTAATGAAATGGAAATAAATATTTTTCTTTTCTTCCTTTTTTGGCGTCTCTTCGGATAATAAACCTCTTGTCACGCCCTTCATGAAATACTTTCTCCAGAATATTAAATTTCTACATCTCCTTGAGTTGTAAAAAATGTTACATCCATTCCTTGCCGATCACGATGTTATTCAAACAAGAATGGAAATTTAAAAGTCTTGCGTTGAAAAACACAAAGAAATAATTGTACGCTACAAGATAAAAGAAAGTTTCATCAAAATCAATTATGCAGTGCTCGTACAAAGTTCGAATTAAGGTAACGTTTTATTTGCGAACTTAATGATAGATTTCATAAGTGCCAACTTCTTTGCTTAAAGCATGGAATAAATTATTGACACGGAATCTATTGTTGTTCCCAAAACACGAACACTGTAAAGAAGATTTAAAATGGAAAAGTCGCGAATTTTACACAGCAACAACACAGTGAAACAAAGAGTTTGTAAAAGCCAGCGAGAGTGAGTTAATTAAGCGGTATATTTCTCAATATTAACATGTGCACTTGAAACAAAACGCGCCCATTACCCTTTGTTTGCTCTCAATTAAGAGGGAATTAAAACGAATTCAAGTTTAATAACTCTAAACTGCACTTCTATTTGATAACACAACATGATTCACAGCTCAGTAACAATAAAGACCATGTGCGGTGGATTGTCTGTGTTGGAAAGACAGCTCTTACTCCGCTACAGACAACACGAGTCATCGAAGCTTTTTATCGAGTAATAATTACATCAAGTTAAGCACCCCAGCTTCACTGTGAATCAAGACAACTTGTGTGAAAAACGCGAGAAAAGTTGAACACTGATAGTCTTAAAATTAGTCGACTAATTGTACCGTTAAAAACAATTTTTTAATAGTAGGATAAATACGATCCAATGTCCAATGTTTCGAATTATGACCAATTACCGATAGGTTTTTATCAAAATAAACAACAGAAGTTGTTCATCAGACTCAAAACGATTTGCGCTGCTTTTCTGTAGTTTGGGAGTGTTCTTATTAAACTTGACGGTTTACAGAGAAATTTATCGTAGGTCAGAAACTTTTGTTACAATAGAAGGAATTCAAAGTAGTTTTACTCGTTGTCTTTCAGTTTTTCTTCAGTAATATAATCCAATCCTAAGATTAAGGTAACTCGGTTAAGTATAACATTTTGTCTCTAATTGTGAACAGAATTAAAATTGTTTTGGTTGAGCTACAATAAATCATATGTTTCTTTCCTGACTTTTGCCGTTACCAAGTTTAATTACATGAAATAAAGATACATTACGGCGTCACCCAATATTCAGCTGCTATCTCATACATTTTAAACGACGGTAAACAACTCGAAAAGATTCATCGACAAGTTATCCTCTATCTGACATTTCAAATGCCGCTCAGTTTTCAGTTTCTCTGAACAATCTTCCCATAACATTCTCCCGTGATGAATGTTTCTTTTTTCTACTTCTGCAGAGTAAATTCGAAGAAGGAAAAGCCGTCCAGATTTTTCTGTGTGATAATTATTGTCAACAAACTTTACGGTGATCTGTACCGGAATATTCGATTATCAGTTAATGAATTGGCTTTTTTTAACTGTTTCTTCTCGAAACAGATTGCAAAACAGCTGTTCACTACATAACGTATGAAGAGAACTTATAAAACAGTGTGTTAGATTTACCGACGAGTCAAACGACCCAGTTTTAGCAGAGGTTAAATGTTTTTCTGACCCCCGACGAAAATTGTTAGGACAATAAGGCGAGAGATTTATGACTTCTGCTTAAAGCTCCCTGCGTTTATTTATATCTTTCTTTCACTCCTTTACAGATAAAAAGCACCTGTCGAATCAAGCAAACAAAGGCACGACTTGTTATTTTCCGTCGGCGAGAAAGTGGGTGACACCCACAAAATTCTCGCAAGTGTCTAAGAAATCGTCCACATCGACTTGCTAACCACACAAAGAATTCTTTTATAACGCTTGGGAGATCGTCTCGTTAATTACTTTAAGGCGAGAGCGAAAAGCTTTACAGTTTCCATTGACTTTTAGCTGTTTACGGAGTGATTATTTCATCACATGTTTGTCACTTTTCATTGTTCAAAAGCTAACTGTTATATTCATTTCCTTCGATTAGAAGACCCGTCAATTTAGTCGATTTTTTGATGAGTACCAATTTGTTTATTTTTGTCCCGCTGTGTCGGTCTTTTGTGAAAAATTGAGTTTCATTTCTTGTTATTGTTGGCAGTGATAAAAATGCGAGGAAGGCGTAACGGAGTGTTAACTTCAATCACAGTGAGCTGCATGGAAGAAACGGTCACAACGTTATCTTTCTTCATCTCCATGCAGCTAGTGAGGCCAATTAAGAATCAAAAAAAATTCCTAACATATGTGACTTTGTCATGATCTTCAACTTTTATTAATTGCCAGCTGGTAGATTACATTGATATTTCGGCGAAAATATTCTTAAAAACTCCACCCATCGGCAGAAGTATTTAGATTAACCGCTTATTTCTAGGTATGACGGATTCCTCTCAACTTGCTAATGAAAGAACATGAGGAAACTCGAATCAATCTTTTCCTGTAAGTTTTGGTAAGGAAATCACGTTGACAACAGCTGAAAACGTTTAGGAAGAGAAACTCTGAGACATTGGTTTCAAATAAAAAGATGTTTCGACGTTGCATTTGTGGGAAACACTCTGAAGATACTTCAATCAATAACATGTCTGTGTCTTCCGTTTACTATGAAAGCATACCACACCCAGCACTCTAGCTGTTGAGTTTTAGGATACAAAAATAAAATAATATCAGACAGTATTTGGTGATCCCAAAGTTAAAAACAAAAGCATTTTTCCCAAACTTGTATAATTAAAAAAATAAATTTTACATCTTTGTCTTCATACCTGCACTAATTAACCTGGAGTTCGAACTCTAAAATTTATCATTTCTAATGTGTTCTAGTATTCCTAATCAATCGCGCTTTTTGCGTCCATGGATCAATCAACTTCAATTAGTTTAAAATCAGGCTAAAAAAGAATTCCGTAGCAGAGTGTTTTAATGGCCATTTTCTTTTGTGTTTCAGTCCATTTATTTAAGAAATGCAAGTAGAACATGGTTAGAATCTGGTACAGTCATAGTTTGTACTGATGTTTGTGAAATATACCGTGGCAACAAACATCTTGTCCGTAATTTGAAAAATACTTCAATAACTCCATCTTTCCAACCGTCTGCCTAATAGAAAAGTGAGAAAATCAGAAAATGGGCGGTTCTAGTCACAAAATGAAAACCAAACTATTTATGAACATATGTAAAGTAATTAATGTAACATTGAGTGTAAGCATCAACGTTTTCGCGGAATAGTACGGGATTACTTGATTAAACAACAGCTGTACAGATGTACAGTTTAGAATATTATTATGTTGTCGAATGTGTAACGTCCTATCTTATTGTTAGATAACCTAAGATATTAAACCAAATGTTGAGTGAAGTAATTAGCGTAAAACAGCTGGAAAAACCTCTGCCAGTGTCTGCAATATCAGACTTCAGCAGGACTCCAAAAACACTCTGTGAATGAACTACAGATATTTCTTCATTACATTGTAACATTGTAACTTCTTTGAGAATGCGAACTTGATA